CATGGTTTCTTTTAAAGTTGTTGAGTGCCAACGTTTGCTTAAGTAAAATTAAGGAAACGTGAAGTTTGTTTTTCTATCCTTTTTTTTTAACAAATGTTTGCACGTTTGTCGATTTGTTGCGCCCTGTTTACATAAAAAATTTTATTACATTAGCAATACTTTCTTACAAACAGAACTATTTTTTTACTTTATTCATCATAAAACAGTAGTCATTAAACTAACTTTTTTGCTATTTATTAGCACTAATTTCTAACAAACAAAACTATATTTTTACTTTATTTATCATAAAACAGTAGTTTCTACAGTAGTAAAACAGTAGTGGTAACAATATGGTCAGAGATGCTGCAGAGGTGGTGCAACTGGTGCAGTCAAACTAGAATAAATTAGTTAAGCATGGTACTACTAGGAACATAGTAAGGGTTGAACTTGGCACTTTTGCTTATAAAGCAAGCACTGCACCTTTACCGTAGATGCTGTTGTACTTAGATAATTGATAAGATATAACTACATCAGTAATATTCATATTTTTTTTATACAGATGTTATTAAATATGTAATTGCAGATGTTGTTAGACATATTATTACACTTCATTGTATTTACCAATATTGTTAGATGGATGCTATTAGACATGGCAAATATTTTTTTTTTTGTTTTTAAATACTAATTCTCTCTAAAAAAGGCTGCGATCAACCAGTTAAGAGTTACTAAGAAACAAAGAATAATGTTTAATAGCAAGGAAATGGTTAACAGAAAACAAATGTACCATTATGTTAACAGAAAAGAAAGAGCAAGTGAGAAGAGATGAAAAAACTGTTAGCAACTTCTTTGTGCAAAAGAAGCTTCAAAATATTGTCTCTGATTTAGCTACGATTAGCATTTCAATTTGACCCATAACCAGAAATAAATTTCACAGTCAATAGCTTGAAATGATTTTAACTCCACGCTAACAAAAGCGATGTAATGAGGCTTCTGCAAAAGCAAGACTCAAGTGGGGCCTGTGATTTTAATAATAATGAAAATGACTCTTTTGACAAAACACCAATTTAAAGTTATAAATAATGAGTGTGAAGATGTTTACTAAAATGATTTAACTTAAAAACTCACACAAATTGATTAAAATACATCAAATTGTCAAGTGTTCACAATCAAGTTATTCAATTAAAAGTTAAAGCTCTACTTGGAAAAGAAATTGAATTTCATCTTGATATAAAAACTCATGTGAACACAATACCAATAATGCTAGAGCCATTGATAAAGACAAAAATTGCAACTCAAAAAACTTTATTAGAATTTATGGCAGAATTAAGTTTAGTCAATAATGTAGACTTCGTTACCTTAAAAGCAGGGCTGTTGAGTCGGATTTGCGGAGTTGCAACATTTTTAACAGAGTCGGAGTCGCTAAACAAAATTGCGACTCCGACTCCAATAGTATAACTTCTCGATATTGCAAGTGCATGTACAAAACATTTAATTAACCTTATGTTCATATTAAACCTCAAAGAACGTTTCATAAATTTGTCAAAAAAGAAATTTTAACTTATCGAGTTATAGTTTTTTAAAAATTTATTCGTAGATTTGGCGGTATTTTAGTGTTAGCAAATGTTCTTTATATTATCTTTATGCAACAAGTTGTTTTGAGAAGATTCAAGTTTATCTATGTTTCCATCTATGTCCGCATAACAATAAGTTTTAAAATAAACTTTAAAAAAATTTATTTCATAATATCTCATTTTTCCAAATCAAATGTTTTTATATGAGAGAATGATTTTAAAACATCTGCTGATATTAAAACATTTAAACTGATATTAAAACATTTAAAACATTTTTATATATTAAAACATTTAAAACATTTTTATATATTAACTCCTCCGTCTTTTAATTTTATATTCGTATCAGCTAAAGCGTTACAAGCGTTAAATTTATAAGAAAATATTAAATAAGATTTAAATAAAGTATAAAAGTATTTTATATCTTATTTAACAATTTCTTTTATTTAAAATAATTGATCACTGTTAAAGTCCTTTAGATTGTTGTAATTAGTGCTTGTTTTTATCGTGCTTTATTTTTCTAGTTTTATCTAATGTTTTATAAAATAAATTAAAATATTAAAGTTTAAATTATCAAAACAGTTTTACGGTTTTTAAAAAGCTCAAATTTTAAAAATACCGGAAGCATTTCCAGATATCGCAATTCGCGATCACTTAGTTCGAGCCCTGATATATATATATATATATATATATATATATATATATATATATATATATATATATATATATATATATATATATATATATATATATATATATATATATATATATATATATATATATATATATATATATATATATATATATATATATATATATATATATATATATATATATATATATGTACACACATCAATCAAATTTTAAGTGTTATTGCAATATCTAATTTTTCTCGTCTTATTTAGGGTTACTGTTCATAGCTACCTCAACTGTTCCTGTTAGCAATGATTTAAATAGTTAAACTTCAGAATCTGATGTTTAACTTTTGAATCATAAACTAATAGTTTAAAACCAAAAGGGATTAAGTTTGAGATTTACAACAAGCCTAAGCAATTTAATTTAATGGTAAGTTTTCATTTAATATTTTTTAAGTTTTTGTTATTATTTTGATAAATAATTATTTTTCTCAGTAAATTATTTATCTGTGTTTTTTTTATATTTTTTACAATTTTATCTATTGTTTGAAATCTAAAAATCTTTTTTGGTTCTATTAATATTTGATTAATATTATTTGATTATTGTATTTGATTAATAATAATATTTGATATTATTTTATTTGATTAATATTAATATTTGACTAATATTTGATAAATTATGATTAATATTTAATTATACAAAGCATAAATGTTGAATCTAATGTTTATCAGACTAGTTTTCGAAGTATTAGAATCTTGAAAATATTTGGAAACATGAAAAATCCATAGACAAAGTAATAGAAGACTTTTAGGGTTCTAAAACTTAATGTTTAAGCGAAATGCAAGGGAAATTGTGTTTAAAAATATATTTTGGGTAGATCTCATAACTGCCATTGCAAAAAAAAATGACTTATAAATCTGCCGGAATGTTTTCAGCTAACCAAATTTGCTTTCAAATTTGAGATACATCTGTGTTTCTTTATACTACTAATTCTTACAGCACAATTGCAACTTCCCTACATTATCAATTATCTTATCACATTGACAGATGGATTGGGATCAGCTTTAGACTTGAAATTTATTGGACTAATTCCAGATTTTCTCAAAAAATTAATAATTTTTTTGTTTAACAGTTTGAAATTGTTTTTAAATCTTTTTTGTTTAATAAAGTTTTATGATTACCCTCTTGTTCAAGTCAAACCATATTTTCACTAAACAAATGCTCCCTGTTATGATCTGATTCACACTCTTGCAAATTATTGGCTACTACCAAAACAATGATACCAAATATAATAGTAATATGAAGCTAAAATAATAATTGTCCACTTCCCTATATGTCATGATCTCTCTGATCTGTTAGAGAATTGGTAGCACTGGGCAATGACAACAAATTCAGAAAATTTACTTATGGTAATAGAAGAGTAGTAATTTGAATCTTGAATCAATGTTTTGTGTCATGTTCATTCATACAATCTTCTTAATAAATTAATATTTACAGTATTGCATATTATTTAATACATACAATATTATTAATTGTTTACCATTGTATGTTATGAAAATAAATTATTATCATAATAATGTATAACATAATTATTATCATAATAATGTATAACATTCACTGTCACTTGGACAAAGTTACAATCACTAACATATTTTATTAATTAAAACATTGTTTATTCAACATGAAAATGAAAAACCTGACAACGTTAAAAGCCATTGATCAAGCAAAAAAGAAAATAAAATGCCTCAGAAAAAAGTTAAAGCTTTAAAACTAATGTTATGGTCAACATGATCAAGTATCACAGCTAGTAAATTCAAAATATCAGCTTCATATGCTCATAAAAATCATAAAAATCTGAAGAAACCTACTATCAATCAATAAAAAAACTTACTGAGAAGATTGCATTAAAAGTTATAAAAAGGAACATCAATGGCACAATCTATGTGTGTTTTGGCCAGATCTTGCTTTATTTGTTTAAAATTCCTTTAAAAAAGTAAAGTCATTTTTGTACTAAAAAAAAATCTTGTCAATGTTATAGAATCAAGTCCAATGGAGGATTTATGGTCAATTATTAAATGATTAGTTAATAAAGATGCAAGCAGAAAATCTTGAATAGCACAATTGAAGAACAGAGTATTGCTTTCAGAAAGTTAAAAAAAGTACTGAGTCTGTAACATGTAAATATATAACTATGTAAACATAGTTGAAACTGCTCCTACTAAAATTCATTTTGGTCATTCAATTAAGTCTCATCCTTTTACAGTAACTGTTCCTAAGTGCTTCAAAAAATCTTATTAGTCTAGTTTTTTTCTTCGAACATCAGTTATTTGGAATTTGCTTCCTTCATCTTGTTTCACTAATTTGTATAATTTGCTATCTTTTAAATTGTCTGTTAATCGCTATCTTGCTCTAATAACTTCATCTTTTCACTTCCAGTAATTTCCAACTCTAAAAGTGGTTGTTTGCAGCCTAGTTGAAAGTTAAGATGTTAAAGAAAAAAAAAACTAAACTAGAAACTATGAAAAGATATAGCAAATCAAATAATTTTTATAATATTCTAAAAACATTTTGTATTTTGAAAATATAAATTAATGGTGTTATGGCGATTTACCATTACCCAGATGTCAAGTGAACACTATTAAAATTAACCCTTTAAGCTTGTTTACTATTTCATATGAAGCATAAATAACATACTTTTTCTTTTATGCTAGGTAAATTAGTACTACTAATACTCACTTTCTAAATAATATGTATTATTATGTCTGCTTACAGCTTTCATGGAAGTAGATATGTATTAATAAAAAATGTACAACTTACATTGAAGTAGCTTTTGATTGTTCTTGTTTTTTTGCAGTCTTCAAATTTGAAATCCGCACGCTTTGTAGTTCCTAATTTGTTTTGTCTCTTAGTTTATGATTAAAAAGTTAAACACCAGGTTTTGAGGTTTAACTTTCATTTCTAAGAATGCAACAAGAGTGATTTAACAAAAAAGTGACAAGGATTTCAGACTCTAAAATAAAAAAATATATGTATTCATTTTAACAATTTTACCTTTTCTATAAAAAATTTAAATAAACAAAAAAATAAATAAAAGCAAAATAACATACATTAAAAAACACATAAAAACATACAATTTAGAAATATAAAAAGTAAGATATTAGGAAATAACAATTTTAAAACTGGTGATTTCAAATTTAAGGTATCAAATAAAGAATAAAAATGAAACTAAAGTAAAAAGATTAAATTTTTTTAATCTTCTTACTTTAGTTTCTTTAATCTAAGTTTAATATAATACTAATAAAAATTTTTTGTTGCTATTTTGTTTGTGTTAATAAACAATCAAGGAATTAAAATATTTGAAATAGTAATCCACCACAATACACTATATCTGTAACAAATATTATTGACTTTTTCATATCGACAGGTTTATTTGGCAGAAAAGTCGTCAAGACAGTAAGGGCCAAGACCAAGACAAAGGGCTTAAGACCAAGACTGAATGCTTTAAGACCAAGATATCAAAAATTTAACCCAAAACCAAGACTTTAAAAGTTTTTACAAGACCAAGATCAAGACTTACGTTCTAAGAAGTCTAAAACAACAAGACTCATGCTCACACATGTTTGTATACTATTAGGCCCTTAGTTGGTGTAATATTTTACCATTTACAGATAAATTTTTTTATTTCAAAACAACTTTTTTTGTATTGCTAAAAAAAACTACCAATAAAAAATCTAAGAACGAATAGCAGCCATGGTAGTCCTGTAGCCATATTCTTCAACATAGTATCAACCAGTCTGGCACATTTTGGTCACATAATTAAATCCCTCTGGCTGAATACCCGCTCTTATGGTGCAAAAGAAGCTGGAATACAAAAAAGCTTCTCTAGCAGAGGGTTTATAATATTTTAATATTCGGCAGATTATGGCTTAATTATGCATTTTCTCCATATATGCTTGATGCAAATAAAACTATTTTTTCCATGAAAGCAGTAAAATAGTTGGTGACAAAGGAACAACATTCTTTGAGCATCCTTTCCAAATTTCAACTCAAAATCTCCACGAAAAAGGGTGCTTTGATGTGTTAAATTTGCCAACATTGAGCATTTGGCTAATAAACTGTTAGCTGTTTTCAGATGAGTTAGTCCATCTTCAACACACAGCTACAATGAATATGCATAACATACTAACCTTTCAGTTGCACGTTGCTTGATAGCTTTGTTTACAAAGTTATCAAGCTACAATGACTTGGTTTTCTTCATGCAGACCATTCCACATATCTTTATCATCAACTATAACAATATGTTCAGATTCTCCTTCACTCTTATTTCCCTGTCTCTCACTGAGCACATCAAAAGATTTTTTCTTATTTGAGGCTTAATTGGTAACAACATATTCTAGCTTTGTTCTGAGTTGATTTGGCTCAAATGATGTTATTTAACTTATCCGCAATTAACTGGCCGTTTTGCCTTTCTTTGACTTGATGAAAATCCAAAAGAAAATTTTGGAGCTTGCCTTCAGAAAATTAGTGTCCAGTGCATGCAAAATATGCATTCTTTAATCAGTCCATAAGTCATGGCTATACTGCCCAATGGACAATTCGAGCATAACTCCATACTCTTGGAAACTCCCATGTGTGCTATTGAATGAACTTTTTTAATCTGTTGATTATCGTCAGTAAAGAACCTAGACGTGTTTTAGTACTGTTTGGCCGGTATTGGTGCCCAAAAAAAAGCTCCCAAAAATTAATTTATATTTTTTAATTTTCCTTTTTTATGAAAAATAGAAAAAAAAATTTCAGTTTTTAATGCAGTAGTTTATAAATTTTTAGCTGCCTCATTTTTTCTTCAGGACAATAAAATGAATTAAAAAGAAAATGTAAAAACTTTTTTACATAACTACGTGACATAATTGGCCTTCAGTTACTAACTGTCATAACTATCATGCAAGCTTAATTTTTGAATGAATGAACTTTTGATCTTTAGCTTGCTATTTTAATTTACGTGAGGAAAATAAAAAAACGAAGCGTAAACTTTTTCAGAACATTTTGTTTCTTTTCGATATTCTTTTTGACTTTCAAAATAATAAAAATAAAGATTTCAATAACTTGATAAAAGTTTTATTAAAATCTATTTAAAATAACACACAGTAAATGTAATTTATTTATATAAACGTAATTATATAAATAAAATAAACATAAGTTTTTTAAATTATACTTAATTATATATAAAATTTATATATATTTTTAAATGTTTTTTAATTTATAATATGCTTTTAATTCAAAAAAACATTTCATTTTTAAAATTTTGTTTTCCGCAATTATCTCTTTTTTAATTATCTTTAATTTAGAAGGCGCCTTAAAATCATTTTAAAAATTATTAACCTTTAGTAAAAGTTAAATGAACAGGTTTGCTAATATTTAAATCAAAATTTTAAAATTAAATAATTAGTAAATAAGTTTATTAAATGTTTATGTTATTTTTTCAAATAGTTTATTAAATGCTTAACAAATTTGTTTATTAAATGCTTATGTTTTTAATTTAAATACAAGACCTAAAACTATTTAACTTTACAAATATTACATGATTTAATATATTATTTAATGTAAATATTGATTAAAAATGGTTTAAGGTATTTAAACATTTAAACACTAAAATTAAATTTACTAAAATATAGTTAATAAATGTTTAAAATACTTTAAACAATTTTCAATAATTATTTACTGTTAGCGTGGTATTTGCAACAAAAGGGTTTGTTAAAGTTTTAAGTAAAATAGCTTTCTTATTGAATCTAAAGTAACATCGTCCACAAGTAAATTCATGTATTCAAAAAAAATGCCTTTAAATCAACTCTTTATAATAGGATACTACTAAACATGATAAACATAAATGATTATTAAAAATTATTGTTGCAGCACTCGTTTAATTAGGAGAAGAGGAGGGGGTCACAACATCGTCTTCCTCTTTTAACGTTGCCGGAAAAATTGGTATCCCAATTAAATTTTGGGTTCTTTATTGATTGTGCTTATAAATGATATTACATTTGTGCGTTGCAACTTTGTTTTTTATCCATTTTGTTGCCGCTCGTGTGAGTTTGTCTGCAATATTTTTTACCCATGTAACATTTTCATTTATGGCATAATCTTCAACCAATTTTCCAAATGCTTGAACCCTTTGTCAAATTAGCATTTTGCATTGCCCAGCACATTTTACAGGTTTGTCATGATTCAATTCAGAATTTAACCAATTGAATACACTATAAAAATCAATATTGATATCACTTGGGTTCCATTTCAATGCCATATTGACACCTTAAATACATGCATTCAATTCAGCTACTTTGATATGCATTGCATCAGACTTTGGCCGGAGTCATGTTGCATTTTTTATTTTCTTGTCACCAAACAAAGCCTATCCACTTCGCGAAACTCCTGTTAATTGATCAAAATTGCATTCTGGGATGTCCTGCCGGACCTCTTCTGCAACAAACACAAATAGTTTTTTTTTAATTAATAAACTTTGTTGCTAAATATCTCAATTTTGTATTCAAGATATCTCAATTTTGTAACATTAAGATGAAAAAACAGTTTTGTAGAACAAAAAAAGTTTTGTAGAACATAAAGTTGGTGTAACTTTTTTAGAGCATAAAAGTATATTATTATACATAAAAGTTATTACCATTATACATTAATTAAAGTATTAATATTATACATTACCAAGACATTACCAAGTCTCATTACAAAGCCATTTCATTTTTTTATTTTCCTATTTATATTTTCATATTTAAAGACAATAAAAGGCAAGCTAATTCATATATTATTTATAATATATGAATTAATTTTAAATTAAATTGAAAAAATAATATTATAATATACCAAATGATAATACATACAATATTTTTGAAATTTTTTCGCTGGAACTGAATGATGTCAACTGGTGGTTTCCTTTTAGAATCAAGAAGTGGAGGAGGATTTGGGATGTTAAAAATAGTAGGAATTGCTGATTGAAACAAACGTTTTCCACCATTATTTGTAGAATAATACATTGTACTTTAAAAATGATTATTGCACAAATAAAAGTTTTTGTTTAAAAATACAAAATCTTTTTTTTCTAAATCTTTCCTAAGACAGTTGATATCCTACTGCTTACATCTAAAAATTAAACAATAAAAGAATATGTTTTGATATACTACAATAATATATTTTAAAATACTTCAATAATATGCTTTAAAATACTACAATAATAATTTTATGAAAAAAAAGTTATTATAAATAATATATGAATTAGCTTGCCTTTTATCGTCTTTAGGAAAATGAAAAAATGAAATGGCATTGTTATAACTAAGATCAAAATTTTTTAAGGTACATACAAAAATAACTATTCACTACTTTTTTTTTATTACTTCCAATCCTAGTGCATGAACTGGATTTTTGCAAAATAATCAATCCTAGTGCATGAACTGGATTTTTGGAAAATATTATGTTTTACATAAAAACCCCATTTCTTCAAATGTGCCACCAGCTTTCTTCCATTTCCATTGGTGGCTAAGGTGTTATCAATGTATCCTCTTGTTGATTTAGCAAGTGAAAAATTTTGTTGGCAATTGTATTGAAGTATTGAGCTCATCATCACAGGCGCTAGGTTCAACCCTAAACCCAAAAATGTAAGTGCAGATTGTTGATCTATGTAAACAACATTTTGGTAAAGCCAATATCATTTATGCACATGAATTTGAGGTATGCTCTTTTTAAATAAACCACTAAGTTGTTGCTATTTTTACTCATGAGCCTCCAATCCCAATTGGTAATGACATCTGCATCCCTTGTAGATACTTTTACATAGGTGTTAAGTTCGCATTAATCAAGCACCGATCTTATTTTCTTTTTATTATCTTGAAGACGCACATTAACAGTAGTAATCGTTTAACTTTTCCCATAAATTTGTCATCATATTTCATATGTATATCTTCTTATTTCCAACGTTTCCAGTTTCGCTACTAAATCTTTGTTTGAAACATCTGGCACTTCAGGTGCTGTTAATTCTTATATGGTCTTGTAAATTTTCAAGGACAGAGCAGCAAGCAAGTACGCTCTGAATGAATATTGTTTACCATGAAGAAAGAAGTCATCTGCCAAATAAATCGCTTTAGCTGTTCATCTTCATATTGCGGAGATAATAGACATGGATAGTTGGCTTGTTGTTCAACGCATTTAAAAGCCATTTTGTTTTTCAGTTTTTAAATACTTATAAACAACCTCAACATTTTAACAACAAAATTGTTTGCTATATATAACATTAAAAAAAAAAACTTGTGACTCTTGTCAACAATTACTGATCGTTATACAAAACATAATTATAATAAAAATATGCCACGTGTGACTTTAATCAGTAATTGGCAAAGTTAATTGACAAATTATTGATGCACATTAAAATCACAACTAAAAGCTTGTTGGGATATTTGATAGTAAATTTTATTAACAATAAGTAAGCAACTATGATGTAATAAACTTTATTTTATAAAGTTTATGTTATTATTTACAAAACAAATCCAAATATATGTAGGTAGTTAGCTCAAGGCCACAAGCAAAACACAGTCAATTCAAATTGCTACTACTTATTCACAGAAAGAAAATGGGCAGCTGTCAAGCAAAAAAAAAAATACTGCCAAAATTTACTAGACACTCCAGTCTTAAATTTGGCTTTGTTTTTAGGTATTGCAAACAAGTTTACAACATTAAATGCATATTAGTAAGTGTTTACAAGTTTACAACATGTTCTCTTATTTAATGAGACAGATTTTTAAATATGCACTTTACAAGCCATATAGATAAGAATTAAAATCATTCTTATCTATCTTATCTACAAGTTTTTTAAAAAAATTATAATTTAAAAATAGTAACAAGTTTGCAACATGTTAAATCAATACTAGTTTACAACATTTATATTGTCTTGCCAATTTTGAATAACTTAGCTGGCATGAAAATGTTTTTTATGTTGTTTTTTTTAAGTACAAAATTGTCTGAGCAACCCTTGAATCTTAAAACAGCTATTTTTGTTTAAAAAACTTACGTATGATACCTCAGTAATTAATATAGAAACACTAAAACAAAATATATATTTTATTAATTTATTGAACATATAATTTTAAAACGTAAGCAACAACTTATACTTATATATATATATATATATATATATATATATATATATATATATATATATATATATATATATATATGCAATTTTCAATTGTTTAACGCTTAGTTGTTAGGAATAATGATTAAATGTTGAATTTTATACATAATAATTATAGTTAATAGAAATGAGAAAAGGTAATAAAAAATGAGAGCCGTGTTAAAATCATCTTTTCAATAATTACTAACTATACCTTACTTTTTAATACTAATTTAATAGAATAATAAAGCTGATTTTATTTTAGACAACTATAACATGAACAGTGGGTGATCAAAATTTTAGCATGCAACAAAAGTAGGTAGCAATTAAATATGCATATTTTCCGTCTGTTCAAAGTCAAAAACCTTCTAGGTCTGCAGTATAAATAATTTTAATAATCTACTTTTGGTGTATGCTAAAGATTGCTAATGTTGTACTAAAATTTTTAATCACATGAACTGACTTTTATTAATGAGTTAAGTAGACAACATTTTGATCAATATAACAAATTTTGTTTTAGTTATGTATGCATACTATCTATGAAAGATATTTATTCTATACAGATATAATCAATATAGAATAAAATTTATAATTAATATTCATACATCCTACCTTATACCAATATTATAGAATATAACAGTATAAATACAACAAAAATGTATAAATGATAAACATTCATTTCTTCTTATTATTATCAATATTATGAATATGATTATAGATATATTTATTATAAATGTGATGTCATTATAAATTATAATGACATCACAAATATAAGATAGATCTTATATTTGTGATGTCATTATAATTTAAAATTTAAAAATTTAAAATTTAAAAAGTTGTAGATTTAAAAAGTTATAGATCTATAACTTTTTAAATCTATAAATTTTTATATATCTTAATTTAAATGTAAACATGGACTTCTATAACCTTTATAAGGTTATAGAATCTTGTATTTTTATATTTACCTTAAAATATATTATAGTATATTACCTTATATATATTACCTTATAATATATAATATATTATATTACCTTTTAATATATTACCTTATATATATATATATATATATATATATATATATATATATATATATATATATATATATATATATATATATATATATATATATATATATATATATATACATATATATGTATATATATATATATATATATATATATATATATATATATATATATATATATATATATATATATATATATATATATATTACCTAATAATATATAATATATTATAATATATAATTTCCTTACAATATATAGAAGTCTTATATTTACCTTCATTCAAAAATAAATATAATTATATTTATTTTGAATGAAGGTAAATATAAGATTTTGTTGTAAAAGAATGTTTATAATCTTTTTTCATCATATAAGAATTATTATAATTAATAGAAAAACTCACCATTGTAATTTATTATTTTTCAAATTTAATATACAAGTTCTGATAAATTTTAAGTTCACCAAACTAGTTGCTATTAGAAAAACGCGCGTTGTTTTTAAATTTAAAACAAGGTTTAAAATTTAAACCTACTAAAACAACGCATGCGTTAAAAATTTCCTCAAGTCTTAAGCCCGTTCTCCATTCAGAACTTTTTGCGCTTTGGGGAAGCGGAAAAGTTATTTGAGCATGCGCAAAGAGTTTTTTTTAAACCCGTTCTCCAATCAGATCTTTTTGCGCATGCTCAAAGAACTTTTCCGCTCCTCCAAAGCACAAAAAGTTCTGAATGGAGAACGGGCTTTAGAGTCACGTTAAATAAGTAGATCGTTAAATAAGTAGACAAAATGATATTCTGCGCATGCGTTAGTTTACGGATACTTATTTAACGTAGTAAGTCACGTTAAATAAGTAGATCGTTAAATAAGTAGACAAATTGAACAATCAAGGCATTATATGTTAACCCAGACGAATAAATTAAAAAAAAAACACACGTTAACCGAACTTTAGTTCGGTTAACGTATTTTAAACGTATTTACGTATTTAAACGTATAACGTATTAAAAGCATTTACTTTTTCACGGGAAATATTGTTTTACGGCATTTTTATAGTGATAATTTACACTTAAAAATATTTAACTCACGATGTATATTCTATTCGAAATTTTATCTTTGTTGAATAGTATAACAAGAAACATATTTTTTAGCAAAAGTTTTATTTTTCCTAGGTCACTCACTGGATAAGTGTACTAAAGCAGGCATACTTTAATGATATCAACAATTTTCTAGTAGCTGATAAGAAATGAAATAGTTATTTCATCACACGTGCAAATTTACTGCACTCTTTGGTTATTGAACAACTTGCGCATTTTAGTAAAATTAAGCAAACTATCAGAGTGCAACCCGTAATACGGGTTATGGTTGGTTTGTTACAGAATAAATTGTGAATTTATAGCGAGTGTGCCAACTTTGTGTTCAATTTACCTGACATTTTACACGACCCTCGAGCTGTTTTCCACATTTTATTTTAAAGTTGAGAACCTTAACTTCAGAAATAATTGATCTATACCTTTTTAGAGAAACGCCTTTAAATTGAGGCTATAAAATAATTTATCAATTAATATCTATCATTATTTGAATAATTTACAACTGACTTAGGTCATGTTAGTTTGAGGCAAAACCATATTCCTCGACATTCCCAAAGTTCAACACAATAAGTTTTTAGTTACTGACACAAATTAATTAAATTATTAAAAAAATTAAACTCTTCATCATGGTTTAAATTGACGAAAATATAAAGTAACTTCTTGTAATATTTTTTATAATAACATGTACTTTAATAAAGATTATGTGTTAACTTCTGTAATGCAAGAGCTATTAATTTTATTAGTTTATTATAAATAACTAAGCAATTGATGACAAAAACGTTTTAAACAAAAATTTTTAATTTACAATTTTTTTTTTTTTTTTTTTTGTATGTATTTAGGTGCTCCCAGAAGTCCTTACGGTCTTATCATAGAGCACCGCGGGAATCAAATACAATCAAATAATACAAATAATACGAAAAAAATACAATCAAACATCCTATCACAAATAAGGAAAAATATGTAAACTTTGATCTTTCATATTGCATCAATGCGTTATATGACAAACCTAAAATAAAAATTGTAACAGGTAATTAGATATAAAAGAAAAGAAAAAAAAAACTAGAAAACAATTTACCTGCTTTTGGTAACCTGTTGTGATACTGCAGTTGCTGTCGTGATGCAGCAGTTCTTGTCAGTGTTGTTTAATGTTGTTACTTCATGTTGGCTTTTACTAAACTTTAGTTAACTTAAAAAGACACCACAATGGATTTAAAATATTATTACTTAAAAAACAAAATATAAAATGCTTCAAGGATCCAAACTATAACGAAATTGAGATAAAAATAAATTGTATTTAAATAGCTAAATACTGTCTTAAATTTTAGTAAATTTTAGAAGCAGTCAGTTCAATAAATGAAAGTCCTAATGCATAAGTTTTAACAATAAAATGCAGCATCATTACATTAGAATAGCACAATAATAATAAAATACCAGGACCTAAATTTAGTTTACTATTTCTTACTGTGTGAATGTTTTAAATTAAAACGACATTGAAGAAAAGACACACTTCATACTAAACTGAAACTTTTTTTTGAAAATAAGAACAAACTTGGGCATTTTCGGAAAAAAATTTGATTTTTGCACATGGAATTACAATCCTATATAGTATAGAAATACAGTATAACATAAATAGTATACTTAAATCGTAATGAAAAAAAAAAATGAAAAAATACCTGCTTTTGTGCCACAAAAGTACTTAACAACTGCATTGATCAATATATGTCAAAAAATGAAATCTAAGTGTGTGCCAGAAGGATTTGAATCTTTGAATCATTCAAATTGTTTTAACATTTATTAACATGAATATTAAAAATGTTAAAATAGTCATGGCATCTACATGTGAGAACTAAGTCTAAACTTTCACAATATTCTATAACAAATTGATTAAATATCTCATTAAAATTAAAAATAACATAGTTGTAATTTTTAGTATTACTCTTGTCATAGTAGTAGTAGTAGTTAGAGTTAACTGCTACTACAACAAATGCATGGAAATAAAGAACTGACTTTAATAACTGCAGCTATTAACTATGTCTTATATCAACAACCCTAGTTGATAAAATAAATAACTGATAACAATAAGAAATAAACAACTACAAAGTTAAAAAATAGCAAATCGTCATGCTAATAACAAAATAAAAAATCAAGCAATAGTTGACCTAAACTAGCCAATTATACAACTTTGAACATCTATAAGACATAAAAAAAAAAAAAAAAAAAATAATAATGAACTTAACTAAAACTTAAAGTACATAAACAAACCGACAATAAAAACAAAGAAAACTTTTTTATGCATATAGGTTGAATTTAAATATTCATAAAAGTCATAAAAGCAAAAAGACACCAGAAATAACAAGATACATTCCCCTTAATGATGTAAGAGGAATTATAAATCCATAATCAGAAAAACTTGAATGACAATCAATTAAAAAAAAAAAAAAAAAAAAAAAAAATTATTATTTTTTTGTCTGCACTTAAAAAAATGATTGCAATCAATAGTAAAGGCACACCTTTTATGACCATCTAAAACAGTAACAAATGGAAACATCTCTAATTTACCATTCTCAATACATTTGAGGTAATGTTTCATCATATCATTATGTTTCCATATGATTAAACTTGGGTCGATACCATTACACAAAACTGTTGCAATTGCTATCGCAAAAAGCCCACAATCATTTCCATTTTGTTGCATTTGACAATCCATTACTTCAACAATTAAAGAACTGCTTGTATGACAAATCAAGGAGAAACGTGCAACTGTATGCACTAACAATGGTACATCACATTCATTTGAACTATTAAAGAGTGAATCATAGAACTGAACATACTTTGAATCTGAAAGATCATCAGAAGATACATTACTTAAAAGCACCCAATGTGAATTTCTAATATTAATTATTTGTATAAAACTGCAACTTTCTGAATAACCACCTGAATTAAAACAACTTAAAATACATGAACTTTGAAATCCAGATATTTTAGGAAACTGGTATGAAAGCAAACTTTGTGCTATATCAATCAAAGTGTCGTCGAGCCAGCCAGATGGGTTTTTTAAAATATCTAAGGCCTTGTTTTTACACTGTGTTGACAATTCAGAATAAAAATTACTGGCAACAGGAATTGCACAAGAAACTTTAGAAAAATTTAAACTTCTACAGCTACTATTAGATTTAACACTTTTTACAACACTATCAACTGGCTTCACTTCCTCAACTGCTAAAATTTTGTTACTATAATCATAGTTACTATTACTACAGTTGTAAAAATCACTAGGAGAAGTTGGAAAATCTCTCACTTGACTATCTTTCATTTTCTTTCTTTCTAAGTCATACATTAGTGTGGATGCAATGTTTAATGCCATGAAAGAAGAGCTTGCACATTCACACGACTCTTCATTTAAATGTATTTTGTCAGTAATTTGCAAACAATAATTATGTTCTTTTAAGATATTTGAAGAGATAAAATTTAGATTTTTTTCCAAATAAGGCTTCATATTGGGCATAGCTACAGCTGATTTCCAAACTTTACCATTAAGGGACACAACAGCTCCAGTTGGCTTAAAATCAGTAATTATGGCAGGTCCAACCCAATCATGCTCCATACGGCAACCTTTACGACAATTCTTTTTGTAATTTTTTACCAAAACTTTGTCACCTACTTTAAAATTGAACGATTTGAAACCTTTTGAATGTTTTTTATCATGGTTCTTCTGCATTTTTTTTTGTGCAATACAAATATTATCATTCACTATGGCATGAACTGCAATACGGGAATCCATTATTTCTTGAATCTGCGATTCAGTTGCATTACTTTCTGCAATGTTAATATTAATATCATTAAAATTAGGATCATTATCATTAAGAGCTAAAGTTGAAAAAAAGCCGGGCCTCCCTGCCAAACATTAAAGAAAATGGAGTGAACTTAGTTGAAGATTGTACGCACGTGCGAAGACCAAACAATACTGGTTCTAATAAAGTATCCCAATTATCTTGTGATTTATTAGCTACTTTTGAAAGAGCTCGCTTAATAATTTGATTGCTTCTCTCATCTTGTCCATTTGTTTGCGGATGATAAGCAGATGTTATTAAATGCTTTATATTAAATATAGAAAATAAAAATTCATTTAAATCATTTACAAACTCTCTACCTTGGTCTGATAGAACTTTTTTTGGAGGGCCAAATCGATAAAACAAAGTAGTTAAACTCTTAGAAACAAAAAAAGCAGACTTTTCTGGTATTGAAAAAGCTTCAACATACTTACTCCAAAGGTCAGTAACTGTTAAAATGTATTTATTACCTTGTGTTGTAAGCGGAAGGGAACCAATAAGGTCTATACCTAAAAATTCCCACAATCCGTTGACCTTAATGGGTTTCAATTCTGGAGCACAAGTTTTGATCTTCTCCATGCGCTGACAATTGTCGTACTCTTTTATCCATTTTGTTATATCGCTAACCATACCTAGATAACATTATGCAAACAATATGATAAGTATATTATTCTGTAAAAAATTATTATTACTATTACATTACTATAGAAAATGAACCATGATAAAACTCATTTATGCAAAGAAGAAAATTATTGTATAAGAAAATTTGATAAAAAATATACTCAATTGAAATGGGGTGTAATCGAACTCATTACCTAACCAATAAAAAGCACTTTTTAGCTTAACTCTAGTGTTATTAAGCCCCACATGAGCTCCATGATTAGAGTCATGGACATCTCTAAAAGCAAGTTTTTTTTCTTCATCTGTTGAAAGAACTTGGAGCTTTTTAGTAGCGGTTACATAGTACAGTTTTCCATCTAAAATAAAAAAATAAAAAAAAGTTTCCACTTCTTAAATCAAAAATTACATGGTATGGTTTAAAAGTGTTTAAAAAAGACTTTATGTATGTTAAACAAGTTATATTATACAGATAACACACACAAATATAGCAATTCCACAGTGCAACAAAAATCTTTTTGATGTTTGACAAAAAACACGTAATTTTCATGAACTTTACTTTCTTGTAACTTATCTATAATAAAGTAAATACCTTGAGTATATATATATTTTTTTTGTTATAAAGCTATAAAGTTATATACGTAAACAAATAAAAAAATATAAATTAGTAGAAAATTACTGAACAATCTTTTTTCATTTTACACAGTGTTTCATCAATTTAGACTCATCAGAAATGATGCATTTCTGATGAGTCTTATATATAATTATATATATACATTTATTTATTTATTTACGTATATAACTTTATAGCTTTATAACTAAAATTTATTTTTTAAAAATAACTTAATGTGTACTTGAAGACTAGTTATCACAAAATTTCATCTGCAATATTTACATTTGTATACAAAAGGTGTATGCAACGGTTAATTTTGTATGTGTTTGATGTTTACATTTGTATACAAAAGATGTATGCAAAGGTTAATTTTGTATGTGTTTGATGTTTAGTCATTGCAGAATTATAATTATAATATACTGCAATATTTACAATTTATATGCAAATGTTTACATTTGTTTACAATGTTTAAATTTTACCTGAGATATAATTCTAAACCTTCAAACAAACTTGATGTATAAATACAAAATTATTCTTAATAATAATACATACCAATAAACTGAAAACTTTTAGCATACTTTAGAAATGATTTCCGCTGTTTTAAATTAAGACATTTCTTAATTGTTCCATCATAAAGATATTTTTTAACATCTTCAACAGAGTAATCGCGATCAGCCATTTTTTATGTTTATAAGCTATGCTACTTATTTAACGTTGGGTTTTAGGATCCTTGTTTTAAACTTTTCAGCGTTTTTATGCATGCGCAGAACTGTTTGTCTACTTATTTAACGATCTACTTATTTAACGTGACACCGGCTAACGAGATGTTTTAAAATCGGACTCTGCGAAACTCAAAATTTTTAACCAATCAAAACAGGGATCGATCTCAGGAAATAGCCATTCGTACTGTCTTTACAACTCTGCTGATTTATTAATAAATTCATCAGATAAAACACATGAAATTCTTTGACTATTAACTTCTGTTGAGTTGTTTGAGAAAGCAACCTTTTATTCGAGATAAAATAATAATCTTAAACCAAGTGGAATCTAAAAGTTTTTCCTCGCTCTCTAGTGTTTTCATGGCATGTGTTTCATTTGA